GTCGCTACACGCAAACAGTTTTCCAAATGAACATCAGTAATTCGTGTTCTCACTTGTGATTTGATGTACTTCATGCGACTAAAAAGTTGTTCACACGCATAAGTGTTTCTAAATAGCGAAACCATCGACAGAGCATGTTTGTAAAACGCAGGATATTTATCCTTGTCCAAATACATTTCATAGAATTCTTCCAAACCTTCTTAACTCTTCTAATGTTCATTTGGTGATATGTACAATAAAGTTAACATTTACGTTCATTTGACCAAGCTCCGCGGGCCGCAACACGACTCCAGGCGGGCCGCATGCGGCCCGCGGGCCTCATGTTGGCCACCCTTGTCTTAGAGCAAACCACATTCACAAATAAAGAGTTTGTGATGTACTGTAAACATCACCAAATTGTAAACTTGTACATTTATAAGTATGTACTATATGTACATGAATTTGTATATTTAGATTACTTTTTCTGTACTGTATTAAAGACTAAAATTTATTTGTTTGTAAGCTTAAAATATATTCTTATTAACCACATATTATTAAAAATGCATTTATAAATAAAATACAGAACTGGGAATGGTTATTTGTGGTTTAGCCTAGTGACGAGTAAATTCGGAGACAAGTAAATTCAACTTAAGTCATTTCTCCTGGAACCAATTACCAATGTAAGGCGAGGCATACCTGTATTTGATATTTATATACACAATGTTGTTTGCACAAGTAATTGAGAAAACAAAGACAGAATGCTAGTTTATAAAGTAGAAAATGCATAGAAATGATATTCTTATTGATTTATTTTTTACTTTCCCACTTATATAACACTATTGGGAAATTGACTGATCGCCATACTTTCCCAGTCAAAAAATGACCCTTCAAGACTGTGGAATGGACATTTTTGGATTTGGAACATCTTGAAATGTGAAGAAATGCAAGAAAAGTTTGGGAGTTTTTTCTGTATGTATGGATGTCAGTGTGAGAAGTACAGTTTTGTTCACCTACTTTGAAGCTTAATAACTCCTGTGCCTTTTGTCAAAAAAAGATTTTTAAAATAAAATGTCATAACAGATGGCATCACATGCAATTTTAAATGTTTTTTGCTGGAAAAGCTACACAACTTGTTGCAGGATTTTCTTGTAATTAATACTTAATTTTAAATATGTATAATGTATGTATAACAACACTTTTACTATAAACTTTATTACCAAATTTTTATGATTAGTCCTATTGAAGATGTTTAGATTAAAAAAGAATTTAAAGGTAAACAAAGTAAGGCTTAGAATTTAACAATTGTCGAATATTTCTTATTCAATGTTGACAATATTCAGCTTTTATCCTCTGAATAAATATTAATAGTGCATCTACTAACATAATCAGTTCTATAATCTTTTTAACTTGACAATAAACAAAGCTTGATTGATGAAATCTTGCAAGCAAAAGCTGTGTCAAACACTTTCACATTTGAAGATATCTGATGTTAAGTCTGAATGAATTGATTGCATATTTTAGTGTCGCTAGCTAGATTATTGAGTCGGTTGATTAAAATATGGTGCATTAAGAATTATAACTCAACTAACATCATTTTATTTGCAATAAAAAGATTATTTTACGTCTTTGTTCTAGAATGATATGTGAAATTTTCTGTATTCTTCCATAACGACTATAAATAAATACAATGTTTTCTTTGATATTGAAAAAGAATATTCAAAACTTTTTTGCATGAGTTTTTTTTATCTCTTTCGTATAGTTTATTATTAACTTTTTATAGCTTCTAGTAAATTATCAATATGTTTGTAGGCATATGTAAAGCCATTGTATATTTTTGAGTGTTAAAAACAATGTTTATTTTCCTAAGATTAAAAGATATATTCATGTTTATTTGACAGTTTTTTGGTCTTTTGATCTACTGTACTGTCTTTTCATTTGTCTATCTAATGTATTTTCAAAGAATTTTTTAATGTTAATTATTGTATATCTATGTTTTTGAAATTTTCTAGGAAATTCGGTTAACATTGCCACACCATTGTATAAATTGATAATCATTTTCCTCTATGTATCTTTGATACTTTGCTTTTCTATTAACACATTTATAATACTGTNTATAAGAATTTCGCATTGTAGGAATCCTCAAATAGATGAGCCAATCACAGCCCAGCACGTGTGCAGTTTACAGACTATGGCTGTTTGAAAGGTTTTCTTCCATAAAATTAATCGATTTTAGACTAATTTGATTCAACATTTCCAAAACACGTATAATTTTTTGGGAATAATCTGTATAAACTCTGCTATAAACAAAAAGTTGTAGGATTACTTACCGAGTGTGCATCGTTCGACGTTGCCATTGCTTAAGCTTGATTTCAGATAAGTTATTTTTCTGCAAAAAATTTGTCGAACTTTGGAGACATCATTAATTAATAGAAATAATTTTTATGGCCATTGAATAAGAAATGTTTTTTTCACAAGAAATGTATAAAATTACAGTACTGTATTAGATTTACAGTACCTAATTTAGGCCTATATACTGTACAGATGATAGTAAACTCAACTTACTCGCCTAAACTCTCATAGCATGTAAGTAGTTCGGCTGCTCGTCCATTATTGGTCCAGATTCGACCAATTCTATCGCGACACGAGTCGGC